CCCACAGTACATGATGCCGAGTGTGTAGGTGCTACTGGTAACAGCACAGATTGCATTCACAGCACTATGAGTTCCAATCGGTGCAAATCATGCTGGCGCATCATTTCGTTGACCCATTCTGCTCCATCAGGATCTCGATACAGGTCAACGCGATCTACCGCACCAGTGAAGACCTGGGTGAAACAACCACGAAGGCATGCCGCAGTGCAACTGAACAACTTCGACAGGTATCCCACGCTGAGTGCTGAACCCAATTTTCGCCCGGCTTCGGAAGGGTGCCTATGCATCCAGGGGAAGGGCTTCCTGAGACCTTACACACGGTCGCAATTCGACTGCCTTGGCTGGCCGCTGCTCCAGGCGCGGTTGGAGCACTCATCCAGTTGCTGAGAGTCCTGGACCAGCACGCGGATATGCTCGAAACCAGGCACCCGCCTTGCAAGCGCTTCCACCTTGCAAAAGCTGGTCCGAAGGTGGTCGTAGTTGGAAGGTTTGACTTCAATGACGGCCGTGCGACCATAGCCGGGGCCGGCTGCTTCCTTGAAGGAATCTGTGCACCCCAACTGACAGTGATTAGTGTCAACTTCGTGAGAATGAGGCAGCGGCGCCGAATTGGGCGATTCATCACAGAAGTCAAACAAGTCCATAGGCCTGAATCAGTTCGAACACTGTGGGGTGCTGCTTCGTGACTCAACGAAGCTTCTTAGTCTCCAGCTTCGGCTGTGTCTCCACAGGCCCATTCTCAGGCAGATCAAGCTCAAAAGCATCCTGAGGTTTTTGTCTGCCAAGATCAACTAAGACTAAGAAAGCTTCATGTGCCAGTTTCGGAGCATGGTGCAGGGGTCCGGGCTTCGCTCTCCGCAGGCGGGAGCTGAAAGGCGCGCTGCTGCAGAGCCTCCGTGAAGACCTTCCAAGGAGCCCAACCAGTCGAATTCAGCTGACATCGCTTCTGTCTCTGAATTGACTGCTTCGCTTCCTTCTGGGTTGGCTGGTCAAAACAGAACATACGTGATAGCTGTCTCGCCCAATCTGCTTCAGATAGCATGTGTGGGTGTGCGCGTGTGTGTGTGTGTGTATGTCTTTGTGTGACTCCGAGTGAGTACGAATCCAGATTCCGAGGAGGCTCTCGGGCAGGTGCCTTGCTGCCTGTTGAGCTGCGCACTTTGTGGTGCCCATTTACCGCTTGACTTAAACCGCGTAGAACAACTGCTTAGCCAACGACGTGTGAGCCAAAATATTGTAGGGATGTTAGATCATGTCATATTACATCTGCAATATACTAAGTCAGTATTTGTATACACATAGATGTAAATATAAATATAAATATAAATAAACATATACATAAACATACATATATATATATATATATATACACACATATATATATATATATATATATATCAGTAACATCCAGACTAATACATTTCGTGTCAGCGTTGGCTTGGCCCTCGGCCTGTGAGAGTGTCAGCCCTCTGCGCTGGGTTCCTGCTATCCGAGCTCGGCAGGACTCGCGACTCGCAAGCAAGCATTCTAAGACGCAGGATACCATAGACAAAAGACGCAGGATACCATAGACAAAAAGTCTCCTGTCTTCAGCTTGTGCCAACCTTTGGCAGATTCCTTGAGCAAGCGCTGCTCACAAAGCCATGCTGCGATGTCGACTGTGTTGCAGAGGATGAGCTGCCAGCAAACTCCCCTCTGGTTTTGAAAATCCCCTCCTTAGCACAAGCACCGAGAAACTCCTTGGACTATTTGAAACTACATCCCCCCTTTCGAGGAATGGGCAGCCCAGCCCTCACAAAGTCGAGAGATACTCAAGACCTGCAAGGGATGAATTCAAGGTCTCACCCCGCAGGGAGCCGGGGTTTTGCCTTTTTGCAGCTAAAGGGCAAAGCAACGTGCTGAGCTGTCGTTCGAAGTGATGAAATCGTAGGACCTGGTCAAGACCAGGCTTTCAAGCCTGGCTTTTGAGGCCAAGGGTCCATGTACCCAAACGGGCTCCTTTCAGGGCTCCATTTTCAGGGTACCATAAGGGCCATGAGGGTTTAGCGTATAAGGGTCCATGTACGCATTTTGTGGATCACGACCTGTCAGCCGTCACCAAGGAGAAGCACAGCCATGGAGAGACCTGGCTTTTGCGGGCAAGAAACCCCAAGTCCTGCCCTGCGCGACGCGCCTCTGGAAAAAGCTTACTGGCTCTGGCTTTCGGCCCATACTCAACTTTTTTGACCTAGGCTTTTACGGCAGCACTTGGATGCATGCAGTCAATGGCGAAGGAAGCACATAGACACGCTCAACCCCAGGGCATGCGCTGTTCGCAAGTCAAGCCATTTGGAGGTTGAGCCTTGCGCACAAACTGTGATGGCAGGTACGACAAAATCTGCTCCCTAGACGGCGCTTCGCCTACCAGCGTCTCCGAGCAACGCCCGGGATCCCTGCCAAAGGCTTCGTGTGCATGGCACCACTTGAGCACCAGCATGTGCGGGCAAACCTCGCTGGGGTTGACCCTGCGATCTTTGAGACAATGAACATTCCAAGTGCAATCAACAGATGAGAAAGGCACGGCCACGCGACGCACCTGACAGCCAGGTTGCACAAGAATACTGCTAAATAAATGCTAATTCTATTTTGGTGGTTCCTTATTATAATTATAGCATAATTGGCCCCGAAACCCTATTCCAGTTACTTAGCCGTCGATGCCCAGCGGAGTTGGCTTCCGGCGCACGGCCTCCGTTTTCCCATGTTTCTCCGTGACCTTGTTGATAACAAAGCCCTGCTCAGCATCACGCATTTCGCGCCTAGGCAGCGGAAATACATAAGAAGAGGCTAAGCGTTGCAACACCGGTTCTGAGCCCAACACGCGATGTTTCTCTTCAACCTGCGCAGCAACCTCCAATGCCAAAGTTGAAAAAAACGGGGTGTAGTCGCACGTAGCAACCTCTGAAGCCACAATGCAGTCGAGGAGCCTTGCATGCGCGGCATTCTTGGGAAGCGGTCTTCGCTTCAATGCCTCCACCTACCCACATACAAGCCCAACTATGAACCGACGATTCAGCAGCAGGCCTTCTTCTCAGCCTTCTCCGCTCGCCGTCTCCAGGCATCTCTCTCCCTCTGTGCAGCTCAATGGCGAGCGACGACTCGTGCTTTGTTGATCTTCACATGTCTCCAATATTCTGCTACTCCACGAAACTCTTTAGGCTGTTAGCGACAACTGTTCTGAGTGTTTGCACCTCCGTCGTCTATGATGGTTCGAATGCTTTAAAGCGCTTTCCGGCAGTTCATCGGGCGCACCTCGTAGCATCATCGACGCCCCTGCGGAGCTCTCGAAACAGAGAGTCGGATTGGCAGCAGTGTACTCACAGGAAAAGCGCCTCGAATTGTCAGCCTTTGCCCTCAGGACCTTGTTCTGTGCCAGAGCCTTGTTCATGCTGCACAAGCACTGTCAGTCGTGACAGAGACGGCCATGGACGGGTAAAACAATTGGAGTTGTTGATGAACCAGCCTGGTGAGTCTTGAGTCAGCACTGCCCACTTTTCCAAGCAGAGCTTTTGGGGAGACTCGAGGAACGTCTAGGCTCAACAGGTGGGGCGTATGTTTTGCTGGCACAGGGCTGGCGGTTTGTCGCCTGAAGTGCAGAGTATGACGAGAGCTCTGCTCGTCATGGCGAGCAAGGATAAGATTATGGGATGGCTTCTCTGCAAAGTCCCTGTAGTGCAGAGTAGATGAGCCAGGGCTTAGAAGATGGCTGATAAGAGAGACAGCAGGAGAGGGCATGCACCTCCTCCAGCTGCTGTCTGACGGCTTTCAGTTCGTTTTTGGCGGCGTCCGCAGCTCCCAAACCTCCGACGAACACACACTTGCCAATTTTTCAACCTCGACCTTATGACCTCACCTTGTTGTCGGAGTTCTGTGTGTCTAAACCCTATCCTTCTTGCAAGGTGTCATAAACCCAGGCCTATGGAAGCGGCCCAGCTGGGCGGAAGCTTGGGCTCGCCCTCCATCACTTAAAGTCCATTGCTCTTGGGGGCGCCCGGCTTAGGCGCCGCTTCTCCTAGGGCTTCAGAACTCCTCACTGGAGCTGTGGGTGGGCGTCACTCGAGTTGCTGATGTAGTGGTGCTTGATCGCTCAATTTTTGGACGACGTCCATCACGCCGGACTCTGCTTCGAACTCCAATTGCAAGGTAGGCTCGCAGTGCATGTGGGTTCAAATATCAACGTGCTGAAGCAACAGAGCACGTGTAGGTCTCTGCAATGGTCGCAGTGTGAGTTACAGGAAGGTGACGAGAATTATCTTTTTTCGCAGTCTCAAAGCATAGATCTCCTAACAGGAAACGTGTGTTCTTCTCGCGTTATCTTGCGGCAGGCGAGGCCTAGGCCTTTTGGCACATGACGCTATCTCGGGGTCAACATAGCAACTTCAATGCGAACAGCTGACAATAGCTTGTCGCCGGACATGCCATGTGGGGGCAAGGTAGCGGCTCAAAGCTGTTTTCGTGATGCTGGTTCCGTTCTCCTTGACGTGCCGAATTCCTAACTCAACTGTACAGGCTGGCCAGAACCATGTCTCGCACAAGCGGAGGCCAATCGAGAATCGACACAGCACACGGCAAGTGGTGACATGCATTCTGGGCATCACAATGCCCCTGGCTGCTGACCTCTATCTCCAACACGCTTACCAGGACGCTGCGAGATCTGCTGGCCGCTGACACTGAAGACTTTGGCGTTTGTTGGAACGCTTGCGGACCGATGTGAATTGACCCGAGCCTTCGCCCTTGCCTTGTCAACCTCTGCAGCCTTCTCGGCTGTCATCGACTGGTAGCCCACATCCGTAACTTTCTTGGCAGTCGTGCCGCGCTGCTGGCGGTATGCTTCCGTTGTGTCTTGAAGCCGGCTGCCACTTTCACCAAGCGATGCCAAGGTGTGTATGTTACTCCCAGGCTTCGGAGGCGCATTCGCAGGCGGCGGTTTTCCCCTGCCCTGCGAGATCGCCCGCACCCCGTGAGAGGCACCGGCAGAGGCAGGGCGTCCCAGGCCCAAACTCTTGGGGCCCACAGCCCGCTTGCCCTTCTCCGGGACCGGAACCGGCGCACCTCCGAAGGCACAGGAGTTCACCAGCTTCTCCAGGCGCTCCTCCCGGTCCAAAGCCTTTCCTGGACGCCCAGAGGCGCCTCCCAGGCGCTTTGCCATGGGATCCCAGGTGCCTACGTGCGGCTAAAGGCGGCCAAGGCCAAGGTCTGCATGATGGGTATCACATCCAGCTCGCCTATGAAAACTATGGACAGAAGACTAAAGTGTTTTTTTCCATGTGCGATCCCGCAGTGAGGAACCATCCATGTGTCACGTGCGAAGACCGTCCGACACTGAAGCAAAAGCCATGCGGGCAAATACAATTACCTCCTGCACCCGCGCAACATCGATCCTGTAAGTCAGCTGCTGTAGCACGTATGTATACCTGGTGAGGCTGGCTGGTATAGTGCATGGCAGACTCGGGAAGCACCGGTTTTGCAGCTGCCAGTCTCGCGCACTGTACATGAAAGCACATCTGGCATGCGAAAAGCACGTTCGCATGACTTGCAAGATGCGGTGCATGAGCCATTCAGGATGGAGTGGCACGAACTGTCGGACTCTTCAAAATGAGGTGGCCCAGTCGTCAGACTCGGACCTTGCAGTCTCGTAGTCAAAGTCTGAATTGATACCCCGCATGACGTTACAAGAATCACAAGGACTGTGGCTCCAGCGATTGGACGGAAGAGCCTGAATCTTCGGTCAGACTTTCCTCCGCCAGTGTCGGAAGGAGCAGGTGATGCGCCAAGTTACCCGTACTCTCGCCTCATCACCACTAGGCGTGCACGGAGGACTGGGCGCCTGCAGACAATATGTCCGAACACAATGCAACTGGTTATTGAATATTGAAGGATGCGAAAGCTGACAGGCATCTGACATGAACCAATCGGAAATTCCAGAAGCTCTGGGGTACAGGCAAGAGGCGGCTCCAGTCGCTTGTGCAGCATCCTGGACAAGCAGCATCTTAAGAAGAAATGAGCTGAGCGCCGCTTCTATGCATAGGCCAGCAACTAGCCTTAGAGCCTACGACGTGCAAGCGTGTCCGAAAACATGGCGACAGAGTCGAGCTTTTGCAGTTAGTGATGGCTGCCACTGGCCTGTCGAAGCGGAAATTCTGGAAGTACACATGCTCACGCCTCGTTGGCATCAGGCATGTCACTTGAGAGTCTGTAGCAGCCTTGTCTCGCTTTGCGGTGCGGGTGCTAGCTGGCAGTAGCCTACCTTAACCAGAAATACCATCTGACATGTCGTAGTTGTACAAAGAAGTGCATGGGGCCGCGGAAGGGAAACTTAACTTGAAACAGCTGCTACGAGTCTCTGCTATCCGGGCCATGCACACATCCCACAGGCCATTCCTGAGTCATTTGCATCACACGAGAAGCGCCAGAGAACGTAGACCGTCTTGGGTACATCTGAGAAGAGCACTGGCCACAACCCAGCCGCCCCTCTGGGCTTCGCCGCAGAAGGCTCCTTCAATTCTGGAAAGCTCCAAGGTGCAACAATGCAATGAATTTCCACATTTCGAAGCTGCCGGCCTCAGGAGATGCTTGCAAACGCTGCTGGCAACATTGCCAGGGAACGACCTGAAACATTCCGCATCGCGTTTGCGCGGCCCGTCTGGCAAAGCGCATGAGAGCAGAGAACGGCAAGAGAATATGGCTGAGAGTGCGTGCAGCGGAGTGGAGAGGATGTGTTGGAAAACCTGCAAAGTCAAAGCGCGAACGTCTTCCTACTACGGAGTGGCAACTGCATCATCAAATACGGAACTTGCAAAGAGGCGATTTTGCTACAACACAGGCCTGCTTTGGGTTTTCCGCAGAATTGGCAAAGGGCAGCGGACCGCAGACGAACTCGTAGAGGCACACACCCAAGGACCATACCTTCATGATGGAGTTTCATAGCAGCATAACTGTCAAGTCTGGGTTGTGGTATGCCTCCTACGGTCGCCATCCCGTACCACGGGCTTCCCTGCTATGACATACTCATCTGCTCCTAGACTCAGACAGTCGGCCAACCTTACTGAGACGAGCGACCTTGCTATGCCCTGCTCCAGCTGAGGCACATCACACGAGTCCCCATAGTCCTCCCCGAGAATGACCTCCGGAGCCTCAGGATGGGAAAGTGCCCAACTTCAGAAGCACGTGCTGGAGGATCTGCAAGGCTTTGGCCATGTAGTGCGGCGTACCGATGAGAGTGCGCCGCATGCCTTGAGCAGGACACATGAGTGCATTGGGCAATGATGGCTTTAAGGTGGAAGGATGTGGAAGGGGAGGTGAGATGTTGAGCGATGAACTTGCCGCTGCTTTTTTTGCGTCTGGCCAGCAGCGGCATGGCTCGAGACCTGACAATCGCCAACAACCTGGCTGATTCGATTCCCACGGTGCCCTGTGCTTCCAAAACAGAATAAGAGAGCATGTCAGGTTCAATCAGCATTTCTTGCATCCGACCGAAGAGAGACTCCAAGCTCAAGTGTCCGACAGAGGCCTGCAAGCAGGCGTTCCAAGCTGCGGTGCTGAGACATTGCCCAAGAGAGTGCTGCCAAACATGGTTGAGCAGTGACACACATTGTCTCCATTCGCGAGCTTTACTGCACGCAGAGACCGTGGCAGATAAAGCCATTGGGTCAAGCCAAGGCCTTTGCTGCTGATGCGATGAAGGGCGCTGGGGAATCTCGTGCAAGAGGCGTAGCCCCTCAGCCCATTTGCCCCAACTCTCGAGAGCATCCAAAGCCGCCCCATAGCAAACCACACCTGTCAGCGACCGGTACGAGTCGATCAATCCCAGAGGAACCCTCCACTGGTTCGACCTCTCACCAGCAGTGGCCATCGCCGCAACAGAGACCGGACTAACGCGCAGCCCTAATTGCTTTGAAGATGACAGCAAGAATGATGCCAAGCACCACTCCCCTGCATTCGCACATGCACTCACGGCAGCGTTTCGTCCGATGATATCGGGCTCGATGGCGAAGAGTCTTTGAAGCAGCAACGTCCGAGTCGCTAACTCCCAGTTGACTGTCTTCTCGCATGCCGTCACAAGTGTGTTCAAGCTGATGTCATCAGGCTCCAGGCCCCTGCGAAGTCCTGTGTGCAGCAGGTGGCAGCCTCTGTGCCATCGCAGGGAGCTGCCCAGGCAGACCAGGGCTGAGTTCAAAGACACGACGGACCTTCTCAGACCTTTGGCAGCGACTTCCATCCAGCACTGCATTGACCACAGCCAGCCTCTCCGGAATGGGCTGTGTCTCTCACAACTGGAGGAAGCAGCGTTCAATGTCTCGACAGCGACCCGAAAGCCCATCCACTGTAAGGTATGGATGACCTGCACGGCCCTTTGCCAACTGCCGCCCTTTCCCCAAGAGTTCGCCGCTTCAGTGGCTCCTTGGTGGCTGTGAAGTCTCCGAGCACAGTCGAAAGCTGCTTGCCATCTTGCGGCTTTTGCTGCCACGCTGAGGAGGAGCTGGAAATCCTGCTCTACCCTTTTCCAGGCCATACCCTCCACCAAGTCAAGACCCTTGACCCAGCCACGCTTGGAAAGGACTCCTCTAATGCTCACGCCCCCCCGCCCGCCACGCAACTGTTTGCTTCTCTCCTTGCATCGGTTGGGCTTTCTCATCTTTGGACGGCCAACAACAGCTATAGAACCACACAGGGCTTTCTCAGCAAACGCCTTTGCTCTTCCGCACACTTTCGCTATGCCAAGGCAGAATCTCCATTGGGCGCCCCGGTGCACAAGTGCACGGCAACGTTCCAAGCGACGACTCGGCCCTAAGCAATCGGAAGAATTCATGCTCCTGGTCACACAACATATATGCAAAGTTGGACTGGAAAGATCAAGATAACACACTGGTCATGTAGGACTGGTGCGACCAAGTCTGACGGCACAGCCGAAGTCGATCAACTTCGGGTACCCATCAGAGTCGAGCAAAACCTGACTCGCTTTGCTGCGTTCCGAGGTTGGAATGTTGCTGAAGGCAGGCCGCAACATGACTCGAAAGCAACTACGTATACAAGGCAGCAGGATGCTCAACTCATTATTCACAGGACAGGCTGGGAAAACAAGTAACAACTTCAGGACCGGCTGAGAAAGCAGCATTCTCGGGCTTGAGGTCGCGGTACACGATTCTCCTTTGCACTGAGACAATGTCTTCAGCACCACTTGCAACTCTTCGCGATTCCGATAGCCCTCGCCCTAAATGAACTGTTGCCCCGTAGAGTGCAGCTCAGCAGCTTCTCGTGGAGAGCCTGCAGGGCGAGGATCAGGCCACCGGTGTAGAACCTGAAGAGCAGCCCTCTTCCCTGAAGGGATTCCACGCAGTTGGTAACAGATCGGCCTGGCTTGCCATCCGGCCAGGATGCCCAAAGAGCGGATTGCGAAGAAAAGTTCTCCACCTTGTATTGGAGTTCAGAGGACGGACAAGTATGTTTGTATACGTGTGAGAGAAGCGCGGTCTCGTGCTTAATCAATAGGTATACCTGTGCGTATATTTATACTGTATATGTGCAATGGGATTTCTGTGTGTGTCGCACTGCAAAAAATGCAAGCTTGTAGCGAATGGCCTGTAACGAACTCCGTCAGAAAATACACGTACCTGCGCACAACAGGTCCGATCAGAGGTCTGCTTTCGAGTCTACATATCTTGCACCGTCTTTTGTGACACCTTCGATCCAACAAACACACAGGCCCATGGAAAACAGCGCACAAAAACACAAGCCAAGACTGCGGCCATCTGCATATGTTTTTCCGCAAATACACATATTATCAATTCGTGCAGATATACTTACAGACTCGCAAAAGGCGCACATACGAATATGCATTATAAGCACCACCACCTCTGCCCAAACAAGTGTGCGCACAATCTCGAATTTATCCGGACTCGTTTGGAGCTGCGGGTCGTTTCGGGTCAACACTGAGGGTCTTCGGGTGCATTGAAGTCTTAATTTCTCAGCTCCATGGGGGTGCCGTCTCTGCCAGCAATGTGCATTTAAGCTGATGGGGCTGAACTATGTGCTCCCAAGTGCCTGACATGTGCTGCTCGAGGCCTTTTAAAACTCCCGTCGCGCGCATTTTGCATCAGCTGCTAAAACGAAGTCCACGCCTAAAGCCATGTGATCCGATGGGTAGGAATGGCTCGGCAGTCGGGTCTTGGGCATTTCCGCCTCCGACGGGAGCTTCAGGAGGGCCGTCACGCATAGGGAGGGAGAGTGAAGAATGTAATCAATGGTCCGCTTCACCTCGCCTTTAGGTCTCAGCTTCCACGTCGTGAACTCAGGCTCCTTAGACGACTCTGCATATGAGCTTTGGAGCCGGAGCTCGTGGCTCAGTGCCGCCGTGTAGGCGAGAGGGTCGCCGATCTTGCCATCTGGAACGGACACAGCATTCATGTCGCAGGCTAGTATGACTCCACAGGCTGGAATTGACAGACGTGACAACAGGTCCAACAACGATACCATCTGGTCACGTCTCTGCTTCTCTGCCACTTCTGTCTTGCCCGACTTGAGATGCGCACTGACAGCCAGCAGCTGCAACTCGGACCTACGATCTTTCAGAAGAGCAGCTGCAGCATATCCGACATCAGCTTCCTCTAGCACTGTGAAGCGGTCTTCCTTGACGAAGACGGCGCAGCCGTCAGTCGCCGGCGGCTTTGGCTTCGTGAGGATCCCTTGATAACCAGCAAGGCAGAGCTCGGAATCCAAGCTTCCGGGCCCAGGAACCTCCACGTCCAGCTCTTGTAGGCAGATGATGTCAGCTTCCTCTTGCAAGAGGATTTCCAACAAGCGCAGTCGCCGTTTGGGCCACTGCAGCACATCCTCCGGAGTTGCAGACCACTCTTCCTCTTTTTGCTTACTGTCTGCTAACAAGTTCAGTGATAGAACACGAACCGAAGACTCCGACTTCTCGGGTGGACCAGCAACCGACCACGTCCGTGTTAAGACCGGAGGCCACTGAAGCTCTGCAAGTGATTCTCGGATTCTTCGCAGGACTGCAGTGGCCGTGCCAGTGTCTGACCCATGAGCTGCATCACGGCTCTCGCTAGTATCCATGGCCTCCACTTCAGGGCTGGCAGGCGAAACACGTGGCTAGACTCGTTTGGGGGAGTTTTGTCGTGCGCGATTAGACAAGGTCTGTTGATCTTTTCAGGTGCCTATCCTGACGGTCGTGCAAATGTACATGTATATATGCACCAAACTTGATTCAAGCGGTTATGTTGGCGAGCTGTCGCACAGTGGTTTTAGTCCTTCCGCTGCAACTACGTGCATTCCCCCCAGTGCCTTGAATCTTTGAAGGTTCGAACGAGCTTGAGGATAAACGGATGGTCCTCGGAACAGGCGTGCTCTGAGGCTGCCAGATTCTTGGAGCTCACGTCCAAGAACTCTCCGAGCAGATTTCCTAAGGTTGCGGCCAAGTCCGTCAAGAGCTCTCGCTCGTTGCAGAGACTTAGCTGCTGCCCTCTTGCAATGGCCTCACGGAGTCCAGAGATAATATCGTTGACTTGGGTCGCTATGTTCAACCGGCCTGGGAACGACGGATCCGTTTCAGTGCGTACCTCCCCGTCGACTGTTCCAGCTAAGTTGATTTTGCTGGTTTGCACAACACACCCGATCAGCGGTACTCTGCCACGATTTGAGCATGCCAAAGACAGTTCACTACGAATGGCTTTGCACTCTGAATTTTCAGCGCCTCATGCCGGATGGCTGATGCTCCATAAGCTGCACCTGAGACTCACGACCGACATTCGCGACCTTGCTTTGCTGAAGGCACCATCACTCCACGAATCGTGTTCCGTCAAGCCTGTCAGCCCGGCACCGTGCCGAAAGTCCCATGCCCGATCACCCGCAGCTTCCGAAGGTCGTTCAGGCCTGGGGAATCAGACTCAAATTTTGTCAAATGCAAAAGCATTTGGCCTCCTGTAGCTTGCTTCCTGTTTAGACAGTTTAGAGTTTAGACGTGCCATGACTTGCCTCTTGGAACCAAGCAAAAATCAACTCCAAATGCGAATTCAAGAGACGCGCGACGGCCTCTCTTTGCGGCTATTCAGAACGTGCCACTGAGGCCACGACCAATGTCCGTGCGCCTTTGTCGTTCAGGTTGACAGACTCATACCGATTACAGGTTCTTTCTTCTGTGTGACATCCCGCCAGTTGAATTCCAACGGCAGCACACAAGATGTCTTGACTTCTGCATTGGTACACTTTCAGAAATGAATGGAGTAGGAGGTGGGCCGGGGGCCGGGGGGTACATCTCGCCCTCGAAAGAGCATGAATTGGCCGAGGTAACATCTGTACAACGGTCATCCAGTCCACGACGACAAGACCAACTCATGCAGAGGCACCTATTGGGTCACACGCAAGTCTTGAGAGCCTGGTGAGCAACTCAAGAGTGGCCGAAGGCTTCAGGCGGCATCTAGCGAGCGTGATGCGGAGCTGAGACACGTTGCTCTGCATGTCTCCCAAAGCCCGAAGACGAACAGCATTCAGGTCATCTTCTCATTTCCTTTGGCATTGCTGAGGTGACTGGTCGAGTTCACTAGGTGAAGTGTCGGGAGGATTTTTTGCGAAGTAATTAGTATTTAGATTCCTGCAACCGCAGAAGCTGTGCTTCCCCCCCTCGCAGTGGGAGCAGGGGGAGGCAACAGAATAGAAGCCGCCATGCCATGCTTGAGCGAGGCGCCTTCAGCTCATAACACACACCAAAAGAAGGCACAAACAAGTGTCGACCCCAGTGGTAGTCGCGATCGCAAAGCGGTTGCGGATTCGAGCGCTCGCGCTCGGAACTCAACGGCTGCTACACCGATTCTTCTCAAGCATCACCTCGCCACAACCGTTTCTTTCGGGCGATGCAGGGCATGACGAACTTAGTCGTTTCAGCATGGTGGTCCAGAACACGCCGCTGAGGCCGTGACCGCAGGCGCAGCTGGTTGTGCAACTGCTCAGACACTTGATCCTGTAATGGGTACTTGCCTTTTTCATGATAGAGAGACACGGGCCAATGCGCAACCTCCGCAAGCCCGTCCTTGACAAGCTGCTCAAAGATCATTGTGTCCATGGCCTGTAGTTCATGAAGTGTACGTGTGCATGCACCGTTTGATTGACAGCGTCTCAGATCTTGGCAAGCACTGTCACGGTGTCCTGACTCATCAGTGGTCGTGTGCCGCTAACAGCTAGAGCCATGCTGGTGCTTCAGCACTCATTCAGACCTTGTGATACCTTGTGTTGATTCCGGGGGCTGCGGTCGAATTCCGTGGGCATCTGGGTGCGCCGGCAGACTTGCACTTCACACTGAAGTAGCGGGTCTTCCTGCTTAGTAGCCTCAGATGTCATCTCAGCGCCAATTTTACACTCTCCACGCAGGATGCGTTGCTGAGCCAGATCTCGCATGGCTAGCTGGTTCAGGGATGTGCCGGTCATCTGAGACACACACTCCGCTTCTCCGAATGTGCTGAAGGAGCCCAAGGTCCGAATGATCTCGCCTAGGTCGTGCGTCAAGGCGTTGAAAGAACGGCATGAAGAGACGAGTCTGGCTTCTAATTATTCGGGTAACACGTGTTCCGCTGGGCCTCCTTTTGACACGACAACCTCACCCTCCTTGATGATGAAGAAGTGTGAAGCCAGATCACCTGACTATGCTGCTTTGCTCATCTTCGCAAGATTTTGTTGCACGATCTTCTTCCAACATACTTGACGGTCCAGGTCTCAGTTCTGACATGAAGCACAATAGCTTGCCGCTTACATGATCATAGCGCTGGCAGGTTGTGATGTTTGTCCTTGTGTGCGATGGTGATGAAGAATGATGATGATAATGGTGTGGATGTTGTTGTTGCGGTGCTTTTGAAGGTCAGACTTTTCAGGTTAACTGCAAGTCAAGCAGGAGCAGGACTGCATGTTCGACTGCTACATGGTGCTGGCTTTCCGAGTGGCGTCGCGCCAACCAATGCTGAGCACAAAACAGGGTCAATCAAGTATTTCACCAGCAAGTTTGGGAGATAAACACCTTTCGCCACAATACGCTGCTTAAAGAGTCGCAGCAACGGATGCTGGCCCGACTCCCTTGGAGGGGGGTTGGGTTAACATGGTACACCATGGCATAATGATGCATAATAATGCCAAGGCATTTCTGAAAACTGCTGCGCTGGACCTTGTGAATCCTGCTACAAAACACCGAGAATGCAGCTACTTTTGATTCTTGCAAGTGCGGTTCCACCCTTTGAAGAATGTGCCACATGGATTCCCTTAGGCGCGAAACGGAAGGTCTACAGTCTATAGATGTCGATGATCTACACAGAGAGCGCGAACGGCGCACCCCACCTTCTTTGAAGAGGAACTGTCCACGGCGCCTAGCAGAACGGCATCGCACGAACCCTATGCAAGATCCCAATGCAAAAAACTTCATGAGCGCTAGAAATGCATTGCGCCTCAAGAGAAGATGGCCAGCCTCCGCCAACTGTGCTTGTTGTGTGCGGTCCAGGTTTCGGAAGATCAAAGCGTTTTTCACCACCTCCAGCTTGTCCCCATACGGGGCTGCACTGCCGATGGCATCTTGCAGGAACATAGCCAGGGTACATCCATCTCGGGTTGTTCCGATCTGCGTCTCCCTGTGACCCTCATTCAAGCAGAAGGAGCGGCCAGCAATGGCATCTTCACCGGTCGTTCGCAGGGAGCCGTCCAAAACCACATACCACAAGATTGAAGCGGTCTCATCGGCAGAGAACAGCTGGGAGCTGCTGGCCGGAAATGACCGGATGATACATGCTCTTGCAAAGGCTTCCGGATCATCTCTCCACATGAGCGGATCGCCGAAGCTCAGCCGATCAGACCACACATCCCGAAGCATGCGGAGCAAGGTGCACCGCCAGAGGAAGTCCGGCATATGGTCTCCCAGTACGTCCTGTAGAAGTTGAAACGACAAGGCCAGCATTCCTGCAGCATCATCCTCGTTGGAAACACGGACTGTTTCTACATGGGGCCTGCTGCACCAAGCCGACACCTGATCCAAGCACTCACCCGGATAAATGTACCTTTCGCGTCCGCTAGATTGCGATATCAGGCAGCCAGACTTGACAACGTACAAGAACTCCTTGGGCATCTGCCCTGCTTCATAGATGCAGGCATCCTTTGCGTGAGTGATGGAGAAGGCATATCGTCCCAGCATTGCTAGGTCAGGCGAGTCCAGAAACCGAAACAAAGGCACTGCCGACAGAAAGCGCAGATTTCTGCTTCCGATCGTCCTTGCCAGAGCTTTTATGGTCGACAGCAATACCATGTTGGAAATCGTGAAGCATGTCCCGCCCAAATCTCCTGCCACAACCTCACCAGCACAGCCCTGCACGAGTTCCAACTCTCCAAAGACGCACCCGGGACCAAGAAAGCTCTCTCTGCCGGAGGTGTTCATGAGCTTGAAGCTTCCTTCGCGCACCACAAATATTCCAGTGCCGAACTGATCCTGCAAGGCAAAAATGGCTGCCTAGACATGTAAGCAGCACAGCAATCAATGACATGGGGTGGCTCAGGCTTTGTGAAATATAGATCACTCCTCCCTGTTAACTTCCTTCGGCAGTGCTAGGCTTTTGTAAAGCTTGGCCGCTCCGGCCTTGTTGGAGGCGAGCTCACCGGGCTTGAAGCGAAGAAGCTGCACTTGCCCTGCCTTTGGGTGGACAACTCGCCTCACATGCCTTTTCTTGCTCACCTGCCTGTACGCTACCCTTGTTTTTCATCTAGAGTATCTAGATCCATTCCCAGTCTGCCGGAGCAACCGCAAGCCTGCCCTTGCATCTAAACGACGACGAGGAGGACGACGGCGACTGCTGCTGCTGCTGCTGCACTTCCTCCTCCTCCTCCTCCCTCCTCCTACAACAACAACTACTGCAAATTAGTATTATTGTGAAAATACTACTGCTACTACTGCTGCTACTGCTACTGCTACTGCTACTGCCACTGCCACTGCTACGGCTACTGCTACTGCTACTCCTACTCCTACTCCTGTTCCTACTCCTACTCCTACTCCTACTCCTACTCCTACTACTACTACTACTACTACTACTACTACTACCACTAGTACTGCTACTCCTACTCCTACGCCTACTCTTACTACTACTACGACGACGACGACTACTACTAGTACTACCACTCCTCCTCCTCCTCCTACTCCTACTACAACTACAGCTACAACAACAACTACAACTACTATTACTACGATTACTACTATTACTACTATTACTACTAGTACTACTAGTACTACTAGTACAACAACAACAACAACAACTACTACTACTACTACTACTACTACTACTACTAGGAGGACGGACGGGCGACACCGCCGCCAGCACCATCACGTCACCACTACTGCTAAGCGCAACACTGCTTTCAACGAAAGAACTCGTAAGCCGTTTCGTCCGGGCGCCAATTCGTGCAGCTGATCTTCGTCGAGGTCGGAGCAGAACAGGGAACCGGAGACCAGCCCTCAGGGGTACCCGGCCACAAGAAACCATCTTCTGAACAGCACCGGTTGGGCGTGATACAACGTGTTTTCGGCAGGCCTTGCCGGAAGATCTCAAAGTCGGGTCCCGATGGGCTCATGAAGTAGTCTGCCACAGCATGAGCCTGCCGAGCATGACACGATTTGACTGGAAGTGTAAGCGTCTTCTATTGAAGAGTCATGCTTCAGGCTACGCCGGGGTCGGGGCACAGATGTATCCCAGCATCACTTCAGGAGCAGAGGCAATTGACCGCAGACGCCTGAAGTTCCGAAATCGATGCCACTCGACCTCAGAACAAAGCAACACAGCGTGCCCCATCTGCCCATCTGCCGGAAGGAAGCATGCGCTGCAGCTCGAGGATGAATTATGGGACCAATGCTGCACACGTACCGCCAGTCTGCACTGTTCCAGACAAGCTGCTCACGGAGTCCGTGCTTCCAACCTTGCTAAGCCTGGGGCTCATCCAAGAAAAACAGGACCTAGCCATCTCGAAGCTCCAGCCGGATGCCTGAAGCTTCGTTTGATGTTGCGCTCGCCAAGGCTGCCAAGGTTGCCGAAGCTCCTGCGCTTGCGCCGACGGTTGACGAGCTCTTCTGGGGCTTTGACTCTCACTCCGTCCAGGTGGCTCTATTAGCATCTGTCAGACCTGACGGCCCAGTGGACGAGGCCCAGGCGTGAGCCAGACTTGGCAAATGCATGCACCAACGCAAAGGGTAAGCTAGCAGCAGGACTCTGCTCTGCTTGAATCCGACCTGTGCGCCCGCGTGCTGAGTTTCTTGCCATGAGGTCTACATCGATAGACATGCTAGGGGCGATGCACGGAACTTCGCGCACTCAGCGGTCGACCTGGGCAGTACCGACGCGCGACGAACAAACGACTGGAGTCTGACCCGGCCACCGATCACAAGAGCACCCATCTGATGTCAAACTTGCCCCCGGGACGACAGTCCGGCAAGCCCTGGAAAGAGTCTGAAGCGTGTTTGCCTGCTGTTGGCGCTGCGAACTCGATTGACGCCGGGAGCAGGGTCCTGACGTGTTCTCCCTGGTCTTGCTCCTTTGCTGTCTCAGCTTCGAGGACCTAACCTCGAATGATGTGAGATGCGTGTGTTTTCTAAACATCCTAGCCCTGCTCTTGCGTTCCCACGAGAGCCTTAGGAAGGGATGACTTTGAGCCTCGTGACTCTCGCTAGCCTTAAAGTCTCTCAGAATCAGATACCGCATCTGGTCCGTGGAGGGTCGGCACCCTCATGTTGGGAGTTGTGCCGCGAGCCCGACGACAGAAGTCATCCATAAACCCAAAGATGAAGCTTCTAACACGTGGAGCCGCACATTGCGTGGAAGACTCAGGCCCAAAGCCGACACCACTCTGCAAACGATGGTGTAAGTCTTTCTGCGCTTTCTTACCATATGGACTGCCTCTGATCAGCCAAAGCTGAGTCGCAGGTTCGGCTGCTCCGGTTCACGCCGTTCACGCTAGCTTGCTCACTCGGAGCCTGGCTGTGTGAGGCGCGGCTTTCCCCGCCCTCCTGAAAATGGCGTCCGGGTCCAGGTACAGTTAAGCACACCAAGCTTACACACCTGTCGATACTCATGGCGATTCGTTCAAATCTCCTTCGAGACATTGGGACCATGCTACCATCTTCCAAATCTGAAACTGCGGCTCCTGAATTCCACTACGCAAGCTTGCGAGTGGAAGCAGTCGCCGCCCGGTCGCGTCGCCTTCAGGAATACATGGCTTGCGGATATGTCTTCTGCAAGTGGACATCCAGATGCATCCAATGACATCGATATTCAGGACTTTCACACGACGGGTTCGACTCGAGCTTTTTGTGGGGCCATCGCCTCTAGCAGAATACCGAAAGTCCCACAACCCGACTCTGGACACAAACGGGCACAGGTGAGATCTTCCTCCCTGGCTCTCATGCACACCCGACAAACTCCAGTCGGACCTTCTACCAATCTCAGCCTCACTCAGACTGAGGGTCATGCAGCCTTCTTCATTGAGGAACAGCCCCTTCCTCAGCACTCAAACACAGTTTCACTTTCTGACTGAGGGAAGAAGCTCAGGATCTGGCGGAACTTGCCGTGATGGCGTTCGGTTCCGATTCGGCGAAGCTTGGGCCTGAACAAAGGCGTGGTCCCGAGGTGACAGGTGGATCTTCCTCTCAGCACGGCCTCCGGGAGCTTGGTTCGCCGCGATCTCAGTAGGCTCCCGCTGTGCCTACAATCCAAGCAGCTTGGGCAGTAAGGCTCAGGCCGTACCGTGGGCAGCAGCAGCCCGTGCCTAGCAGAGGTCCACAGATAGGAACCTGAATAATTGCCTATACTATTTTGGGGGTTCCTTGTTATTATTCTAGCATAATGGGCCCCCAAACCCTATTCGAATCATTAAGGCCTCTCTCTATTAACCCCCTGGCATGAACCACGAAAGCCGAGCACACATCCTTCCATGGCCTGGCACTTTGCGGTGGACTGTCGGGAGAACTTGCAGTGGCCATCCTGCATGAGCCAAGAATGCGCGAATAGCGTCTATGCAAAACGTGACCCAAGCAGCTGTGCGTCAGACTTTGGGCAACTTCGGGCGTCGAACCTGCCGGCGTTCGATGCAACTGTTCTGACCATTGTCCTATAGTCGGGTGTGACAGATTTCTGCGTGTAGGTATCGCTGTTGAAATGTGCCTGGGAACTCGAACTCCTGCTTCTCATACCGGCCGACGGCCTTCAGCTATTAACAGCCCTGTCCCCGCATTGGGGAGTGCGGTGTGCTCTACGACTTTGAAATATACTTTGAACATCGCTCTAAAGATGGAGCGGTAGAGCAGCGCACCTCCCCTCGCCCTCGACGCAGCAAGCATGTCCATGGCATGTGCGTAACTGCATCATGTGAGAAGCTACTGAAGTGCCTAAGATGGCTTATCCCACTTGTCTTTCGTCGCGGTCATGCTAGAGCAGACTTGACACTGTGGGCATGCTTCATTGCGGTTCAGCAGACATCGCCGCGAACAGACCTCCCACCTGCCAATTGCAGCTAGAGCAAGAGCAATTTGCACACATGTGAGACCTTGAAGTAGCCGTGCTGCTTCACAGTGACGACACACCAGCCATCAGATTGCACCATATTACTCGGCAATCCTCGCACTAGAGTCACTAGAGATCTTCCGTGCTCTTCACAGAAGGGTGAGACTTCTGCTCGACGAGGTGCCGAGTCAGAGATGGCTCACAGCGCCTGGGCCTCGCTCCGATTGCTGGAGCTCCTGCACAAGGTTTCGACGGGATGCAAGAATCGAAGAAGGGATCACGACATTGTGGTCTTTGCCCGAGACCTGGAGGACGAGCTGCCAGACATGCTCAACCATCTCATCTGCCAAAGAGTTGACGACTTCAGTCACATCCTCAGCGGCGCCGCCAATCAGTTCTACTCCCAGCAGCCACGGAAACGATCGTAGCATAACGTAGCTCGTGTCACGGAGCGGGGGATGGCAGCACTGTTCTTTCCGTCATGCTTTCAACCATCAAGTCACACAGTACAGGACCGGCGAGCATAAATAAGGTCACCGCAGGGCGCGGTTGCGAACCTTGTCCTGGCACGTCGAACTCTACGCCGCGCATCTACGCGCCTGCTGGGGAGACCTTTGCAGCGAACATTGCAGACGGGCAGACAAGGCTGCGGCCTTCGAGGCTGGCGACCTGCTCTTCCAAGTCCTGCGACCCGTCACAGGTCCCTCCATCCCGCAGTTGGCACGTCAAAGACCACGACCTTCAGCATCAAGTCCAATTCCGCTCCATCCCTGCGTGCCTCATATGGCAAGTCTGTGGGCCCGCTGTGCGCACGACTGGTCCGAGACACCACCAAGCCTGAGCCAACTCCTCTTTGGGGACCGCGAGGTCCGTAGCCTGCCCAGTAACCCCAAACTCATCCTGCACATCCAAACTCACGCACAAAGAAACCTGGAGTTGTGGGGATTTTGGGAGAGAATGCTACCTGCCATTGCGCGCACACGCACACACGCTCTCTCTCCCTGTCTTCTTCCCCCGGGCATGAGGGACGGGTCAGGTCCCTCGGCCACATTGGCCCCCCATGTGTTATGGGGCTTTGAAGGCACTGTGATAAGGTCTACTCGGACGGAAACAGGACAACATGAGGGTAGATACGAATAGCTCCGACAAGAATGCAGATCGTCGTCCTGTTCCGCCAAGTGCAGTACGTGGACACCCGAAATGAAGTTGACTTCGCATGTCCCCCTGTGTGCAAGGAAGCAAGACAGAGTGGATCTACAACAGACCATAGTGACTACAACTTCAGTCAGGCGAGGGCCTGCGAGTGTTTGTGAGGGTACCTATATGCCCCTCCACTAAGTACTTGGCATGTCGACATGGGCTTCAAAGGATCCACAAACTCCCTGTCTCTCGATCTCTGTTCTTCTTTGTCTCGCCCTTTCACCCGCAAGCCTGCTCCTTTTGAGCAATCAGAGCTCGCAGGGCCTGCCGGACAGAAAATGACTTCTTCATTTCACGAGTATGCAGAGGAGCCGGTCTATCCTTCGAGAGCAATGGGAGCAACTGGCTGTCAGGCTTTGGCACTTGGTGTCGACCAGTCGGCTACCTGGCCGCCAAGCCTCTTTCTTCTGCTCCAGGCCGGCCTGGCACAGCTCCAGGGGGCGAGAGCGTTGCAAAGTCTGCAGCGGTGCCCGCACCTCCAGCGCTGACAGCTCAGCGAGGTCTTTGTGGGCGGCCTGTGCCACAACGTTTTTCTGCACAGCATCTGTGATGCTCCAGATGCGTGGTTAAGTATTGGCTTCTAATTCCGCCCAGAGTCCCCGAACCTCAGCTTTCGTCCTAAACCCGTAGTAGGCGTCGTCGTCGTAGTAGTAGGAATTATAAGTGTTGGGGTTGTTGGTCTGGATCATGGCTGTCGGCTGAGGAGCATCTCCGGCCTGGGCTTCACTGATCATGTCCGGCAGGAGCGCTTGAAGCTCGCCAATCCGTCTCCTCAGAACTGGGCAGCTAGGGTTGTGGGGTTTATAGGGGCTAGCAGCCGTGAATATGTAACCCCGTACAATCTCAAGGGGCTGAATCATGGGGCTTCGTCCTAGTCAATCTGAAATTAGGCTTTACACCTTCATTGTTTGCTCTGCGATGATACAGGATGTCGCCCCTGCAGCAGCAAGCCCTTGGGGAATCGTCTGGATCCTGGCTGCGCTGTCACTCTTACAGTTACCGCCTCTTCGTCATGCTGAAACTCTCGAAAGTGGCACAAGACGGTAGAAGGCAAGTTGTCAAAACTGGGCTTGGAACTGAACTTCTCGCAGCCCATCGTCAACAAACAGCCTCGGCCCAGTAGGGACCCAAAATTTCCCTTGGGGAGGAATTACTAAGACTTCTGCCCGTGAGAAAGCACCCGGGAATACACCTAGCTTTTGGCACACAGGTTGGATCGAAAAATAGTGCATTCACCACGTCGACAACATGCCTTGTTCTGCTGGTGGTTGAACGAAAGGATGGGGAGCGTGGTCACGTTCGACGTGTGTTTAAAGACGCACAGGATGAAGTCTTCCACTCCTGCATCAAGCAGCCAATAGACTCGGCGGGTAGCAGATGACACGTATCAGAGTGAACTCGCGTGGTGTGTCTGAGCTGTCGGCCGACAGGACCAAAAAGCGCCATCTCGTGGTAAGCAGATTTGAGATCCTGGGGACGGGAAGAGGTACGAAATCTGCAGAACTCCCATTGCTCCCGGGGCCAGGCGAGGTCAGCACAAGCTAGACAGGAGGTTTCTGAATGCAGGCGAATCCGAGGCGGCAACTTCCATCGTGACCCCCTGGCTGTGAGAGATCCGAAAGCCGACCATTAGCTTCCGTGCTGCTTCGGTGAAACCGCACGTGGCACCTGCTCATGAAGGGTGCAGCGATACTTCGAGAGCTCCTCGATCTCATCGACATCCAAACTGACCTGGCAGTCTGACGTACTCGACTCTTCACCGTGCTCGCCCACAGGTTAGCCTCTTCCATCGGCTCCATGCGCTCCTGCCATTCCTCCAGGCTCAGATCCTGGCAATTCGCAAAGACAACAAAGTCTGCAACACCAGGAAGGGTAATGCACAGACAAGGAGGGCCTTCGCTGCGTCTGTCTCTTCGACGACAGCTGGAGCATCGGTTGCTGGCCGCGCAACCAGCAACCCTTGCAGTTCCTTTGCCACCTTCTCGCTCTCAGCCTCCACACTGGTCGCCTTGCTCCGACAGCCACGATGGAACGGGAAGGGCCCATCTTTCCGGCTTGAATCCAGCCCCCACCTTGTCCAGGCGCACAGCCAATGCACTCAGGATGTCGTTCCAGTCTATGTTGTCAGCAGGGGCATGGCCTTAGCTGCAACAGGAAAGTGATGCGGTGACCGGAGATTCTCTGGTCTAGCAGCAAGTTGGCGGCGCAGCTGAGCTGACCACCTGCGGCTCGGAAAGCCTGCTGCAGCAAAAAGCGGTGGAGCAGGTGCAGCTTTCAGCATCTGCTGGCCTTGTCCAGACTCCCAACCTTTGTGTGCAGGTGACATCCGCTGCAAGACTTGACAGCCTGAAGCCTGAGACACCTGCGATCAATTGGTTCTTGCGAAAGTTCACGTGGGTGCCATCGACTTCTGCGTCACCTGGCCACCAGGTCGTCGCACAACTCCAAACTCTGGCGCAAGGTGGAGGAATAGGAGAAATGGCCGTCTCCGCCTTTCAGGATGATCAACTGGGTCGCGAGGACCCCACATATGACACCTGAAAGGCCTGACGCGAGACTGACTGTGCTTCGTCTGGCTGTGAGAACAGGCTGGGTTGGGCACAAAGGCCCATAAGGAGGACAAAGGCTAAGACCTCACGAGCTACAAGGCGTCGTGGGTTCCATTGCGTTGAAGCTGAGCTTCGAGCCGTGCCGAGGAAAAGGGCAATCTGTAGCCTGTCGACATCATATGCCGTAGTCACAGTCATCTAAATCTAGGCTTCTTCTCCAAACGGACCACGGCGCATCCTTTGCACTAACCCTCAATCTTTGCCGTGCTCACCGAACTTCTAGGCTGAGTCTTTAGACTCTTCGAACAGTGTCAAGGCATGGCTGACATAGCACAGTTCTCAAGCCCGGCCCACGTCCTGCAATCTAGTGCAGATGCCAAATCTCCCCCCCCAAAAAATGCCCCTGGCCCGGGGGATGCCTTTCATGTCCCGACTCTTTGAAGACTTTCAAGCAGAGCAGGCCAAGCTCGTTGGATCCAGCAATGGCCTGCGAGTCAGAGCCACAAATCTGCCTTTCCAGGACTCCCGCCTTGAGCTCCGAGCTCTCACCAGTGCAGCCGTAGCGTCGAAGACGGTCCCAAAGGTATCGAGCACTTCTCGCCTGGCAACATGACTAATCCGGGTGTTCTGATTCATGGCAGACGGCAGCTGGCACATGGAAGGATGCCAGAAAGGCTTGACATCCTCCGATTCAAGCTCGTCCAACACACCGGGGACCTGCTTCAGCAACCCTGAGGCCTCAGGCTTCCTTCACAACTCACACTCGACACGGAAGGTTGCAATGCCTGAAGAGTCATGACCACAGAGGATAGGAAGAAAAAGACGACCACCAGTGCCTCGAACACTGCGTATCTGTGGCCTCATGCGACCCTGGTGCCGACGGCAGAGTTAAGTGCGAGATCGTGAGTGGTAAGGGCCGTGCCAAACTCAGCAGCATTGGCCTAGCAGACCTCGCAGCGCTGGGAACTTTCGGTGGCCTTCTCTCTTCAACTCCATTCCTCGGTTGTCTGCTCAACTGTATTCCATGTGCTGCTTTACATCGAGGTTCGGCTTGTTCAATGTACTCTTGTCCCGCTTTGAGGCATTTTGGAGTACTTCGGCTTTATGCCAAAGCTGGGCAATGATCCCCAAGCCAGGGCTCAGAAAGCCCTCAGTGACCCTACTCCTGAAGACTAGAGAACTTCTTAGGACCCTCATAGCCCTAATCCTACACGCTAAGCCCTACAGTAAACGGCCCTCGCCCTTGGGATATGGGGTGCTTTTGCCGGCCTGGCGAGGCCCATGAGCGCGAGCTCGGCCGACGAAGAGCGCCGGAGCAGCTTCTGACGGGAATCTATATAGATGACGCCATGTAATGTAAGACACAATAGATAAAAAGACTGTAACATGTAAAATGATAAGACACATGTGTGAAAATAGAACAGAGCAGAATATGACACATATGTCATGATATGACATTCGACTTTTGACACTATATATTTACTCTAATTTGAATTCAAGAGAATATAGTATAACATAATGTAGTGTAACATAATATCAGAGACTACAGTATAATATAATCATGTAATTTGATACAGCAGAATACATTATGAACATAATACAAGTATAAACATAATAGATATCAGACATGATGAGGCTTCTAAGGGCTCGAGTGCTGGCTTGGGGCTCAGTCCAGTGAAGATGCTAGGGCAGGACATGATTGAATCTTCTAGTGTGTTATTGCCTTTAGGGTTTAGGGTTTAGGGTTTAACGTGTTGATGTAACTTTCGCGCCAAAGCATTTGCCTTTCGCGCCTGCTTTGGCGGATATTTAGCGGACCCTTTCAACGCTGATCACATGGCCGGTTTTGTGTAGACCGTTGACACCGAACTTTAGAACAACCCTCATATAGTTTTGTGCTATATACTATACTATACAGTATTTACCATATAAGGCTCCCGGGAGAGCTCTCGCGAAATCGGCTGCCAATGCTGGGGACCGTGCGACGCAGACACGAGCCGCTCGGAAGAGGCGCAGTCCACGCAGAGGGCGAATCCAAACCAAGGCTGACAAGGAGGCTTTGGGCGTTTGGGGGGTTTTGGGTGGTTTGGGGCTGAATGAGGGCTTTGAGGTGCAGGGTGGACTGTCGATGCGGCCGATGATGACGACAGACATGTGCAATGACTTTGCAACCAGAGCAGCGACACTAGTCAAACACTGCCGGGATAGAGATCGCAACGGCAACCACAACAAAGACTGGGGTCGTTATACTATATGTTGTATACTATAAAATACTGTGTGTATATATATATATGTACATATATATATATATATAATAATAATAATTATAGATTATAAATGTACGTACTATATACCATATACCATCTACTGTCACTGTCTACTAGGCTGCCGATAGCGCCGGCACCTGGAGACGAAGAAGGCTGCAGCGCTGACCAAAACCTGGGCAGTCAGATGGGAGCGTCCAAGAGTAAGGGGTCCCTTCTTGGGGGTTCCTTGACTCAGATCCTACAATTATTCAGGTTAGGGTCTACATTTTGTTGAAAAAAGGCTCCTGAAACCATGTCCACAGTGTCATGCAAACATCGTGATGCTCACAACAGTTTCAATAAGCTCAAGCGAGGTTAACTCTTCAGGATATCTGCAGGACTGGGGTATGGACACCTCAACGCAAGATCCGACCACGATAATGCCGTCCATCACGAGGATCCTGTCGCAGTAGCTGACAATGTTGACGTTCGCACCGACTCCCGAGGCGACGGCCATGAGAAGCCACGACCAATTTGAGCAACGCAGCGTGCCTGGCGGGATGCTTGTCCGACATGTCTGAATGCGAAAGCGGCTTCTGGGCTGCCGGCTAGGAATTCCACTCCGAAGGTTGTGATGATGGCGGCTGAAGCGCCACGCCTTGGCAGTGATGGAAATGACGTACCCCTGCAGCCAAGAATAGCATCCCACAGCTTGAGTCCAGTGCAGCAAGAGATCAGCATCATCAAGGCTTCTATCCTTGCGACGGCAAAGGAGTCCTAAGCTGCCTCGCAGCCCCCGGCGAGCCCCTGCCTCTGACTGCCACTCCTGCTGCAGAACGAGGCAGGCCTGCTTCAAATACTGTCGCTGAGGACTTGCGCTCGTTTCCGCCATGAGAAAGATGCTGTATCAGCCAGGACGAGCAAAGCGATCATGACGTCAAAGAAGGCCGTTCCTCCCAAGAAACTTTCCGTCATGGCGTGCACAATTGCAGCTGCCGATGCCTGTGATTTCTCGCATTGCGACACGGAACCTCGGTGGCTCTTTGCAGAACTGCAGCGGGCAGATTGCAGGCACGCAATCGAGAACTTGTGAGTGACTTGCGCAAGGCAGAAAGGGGGCCCCGACTGGGAGATCCTCCGTTGAACTTGCTTGGACCTGCCAACATCACGCACTGAAGGGAACAAAAAGCCACGGCCGTCCAGGGCAATGGCTGCTTCAGCAGGGCGCGCCTTAGTTCTTCCGGTTGTATGCCCTGTGCTGCTTCAGGCTCAGTGCCCGACTGTGCGTTTTGATTCATCAAGTCCTGCCACACAAATGCAGATGCTTCAATCGTCACGAAAGCTCCGGGTTCCTGCATGTGAAGCTTCGCTGCCATGCCATCGACATCCGCTGAAAACGATGCTTCCTGAATTCTCTTGCAGGTCAAACAAGCAAGCACTGATCTTGCATGTGCAACTTGAGTGTGAAGTGCGCAGCGCAGACATGCGCAGAAAGCGAGGATATGGGTGGAAGAACCACATCGTGTAGACATCGTGTGGACCATGGCGATGCTTACATTCTGCATCTAGACTCCTGCTTAGCTTCCAAACTGCAAGTGTTGCCATGGCTGTTGCACTGCACAGTTAGATCTGTGAGAATCAGATTCAGCTAGCAAGCTGAGTCCCTTCTACGCTAGAGACGGACGTAGACAATCGTAGACTATCGTAGGCTCCTACGAGGAATTCCCAGGGCTCATGCCACATGCGTGGATGCCAGCGGATCGCCCCCAACATTTCCTTGGACCTGGCAGATGCACGTAGGGGGTCGGGGGTGGCCAAAATGGCCCAACATGCACTTTTTCAAAATGATCCGTGAGGTCAACAGCAAGAGCCTGTGAGCCAATGCGAGCCACTGTCGGCCTGCCGTGCCGCCTCCGACTTGTGGGCCCCGGCGCCGCTTACGAAGGACGGCAACGCGCGGGCGAGATCCATGGCTATCGCGAGACGCCCATTTCTGAGACCGTATAGAGACATTGAAGACTTGCAATCCTGAAACAAGAAGTGGTGCTGTTGGTGCAAACACGTGTGTTGTCGGTGCTCCTTGGATATAGACAGTACCAAACAAACCGCGCAAAGCTTGCGGGCAAAAGCCATGAGGTCGTCTGACTCAAGCAGAGGCTGGTGCACCCCCGAAGCAGATCCAAACTAAAGCTTGACGTTAGCCAGCTCTTTCGTCTGTCTTGTCTGCAGAACTGCCTGGGCTTGTGGGATCCAGGGTGATGTGCCAGGTGCTGGCACAATGCGACATGCAAGCGGCTCACGCCCTAGGACCTCTTCACGCACGGGAAGGTGGTTAAGGGCAAAGCTGCCAACACAGCCTTGACCATGAGGCGCTTCGTGCAAGAGCCCGAGGTGTTCGCTCTGCTGTTGCTCTCCGGGAACGTCCAGGCTGGCGTCCAAATAAAGAACTCGGTTCTTTCTCTGGTCAGGGAAAGCTTCAACTGCCTGCTTGCTGCTTGCCACTCTCGTGGTGACGGTTGCATATTGATCAGTTGAACGGGGTGACAGAATGGAGCTTGACTCGTCATCACCAGCAACACTGACGACCTTCGGAGGAGGAAGCAGCGGGACTGTCACCACGTTCTGCTCCACGTACATTCGAGAGCGGCCTTCTTCGCCAGCTTGCGATGCCGCCACTGCGCCAGGAGCCTCCCGCTCCCACGCAACTCCGGAAGCTCCGAAAGAGTCGCCAGAGCTCAGGGGCCCCGGGCCGCTCAGGGCCTGTTTGATTTTCGAACCCGGGCCCAGAGCCGCCAGATCCAGCGTCGGCGCCTCTTCCCGCTTCACGTGGCCGGCCTGCCGATTCCCCGCTCTTTCGGCTTCGAGCTCGGCCCGCAGTTGCTGGGAAAGCCTCTGCTGCAGCTCGAGGCGCATCTCCAACTGCAGCTCACCGTCGCTTGGCCCCGAGTTGGGGCCCAAGCCCAAGCTGAAACGGAGCTTCGAGCGCTCCGACTGGATCGCCAAGGAAGCGGAGCGGCTCTCGGCAAGCTGCTCCTTGGCCTCCGAGAGCTGCCACTGGACCTCCCGCAGAAGCCTCGCCGTCCTCGTTCCCGAGCTCTCCTGCCGTATTAAACCGCTTCACAGGGCACAGGGCTCTTATACTGCCGCTAGAATGCAGCAACTTCGCCCAGCCTCGTGCAATCGATGCAGGAGGACCGCGTGCTGTGACTCCAGCTGTTTGCACCGCACCTGCGTGGCATGCAGCTCCTGAGAACCATGGCAAGCAGGGGCCGTGTGGCCCAGACTCTTCGACCGAGTCATTACCGGGTCGTGCAACACGTTTTAGGCCGTTTAAGGGATGCTGTGCCAATCACGGGCAATTTCCGACGGCGGATTGGAAGAACGCACAAGCAAGGCATATGATGTGTGGTCCATGCACATATTATGACCGTGGGACACTTTTCAGGCAAATTCAACAACAAAATCGTCGACCAGACTTATCTGTATACAACGAGACTCGGGGCCTACAGTATGCCACGGGATTCCATTCGCAAGAATAACGAAGACTCAACTCTGGCCTAAGACAGGGGGTGCACTGTACTTGCACTACGAACGGCATAGCCAGTTTCCGAAAGGTGTCCTTCCGCAAGCCGTGCACAGTCCTTAGATCAATGCCATGCACATACTCTCCGCCCAAAATGGCAGGCGTTTGCTTGTTAGTTCTATTGCCTTGCTGCTCCTGAACTATTCGTGAAGCCTGCACTTGTATGAGTTAGGTGTCGCCTCCGCTTGGAGATGCTCCTGCTTCCAGACGGACGCCCGTGTGCGCGAATCAGCCAGCTCTTGGCAAAGCTCTCGCGACACGGCCTCTGTCTCTGGCCCAACCTCTGAAGAGAGGAGCACACAAACGGACTGGATGATCTGACAGGGAGTTTCCTAAGTTTGTCGTTTTCGGTTCCTGTCGCACATGTGTTTCGGCACATGTCTGCACCTGCTCCTGCGCCGAGGCTTTCTTCGCCTCGTTTGCGCTTTGCAACTCCTCGGTGACCTCCAGCAGCCGTTCCAGCAGAACCACGTTCTCCTTCGCGTGATCGCAGGGCGGCACGCCCTGCGTCTGACAAACAGTCGGCAGCATCTTCTCGTACAGATCCTGCATGAGGCGGTGCTTGCTCGCAAAATTCCTGTGCTCTTGTTCCAACAAGTGGTACTGCTGTAATCGAGATTCAGAGGCCGCAAGTTCGTTCATCAACTCGGCCACTTTGATTTCCCATGTCTCCTGAGCCTCAACGGCTTCTGTGGCCACGGCCCTGGATGTGTGCCTCTCTATTTCCAAGGTGCGCTCGAGGGATTGTGCCCTCTTCCAGGCTTGGTCTCGTTCCTGCTGCACTTCGCCAAGCTCCGAAGTTGCCAGCCTCTCCGAAGTGATCATAGGGAGGCTGACTCCGGGAACACCAGCGTAGAGGCCCCGAACGTCTGCTACGTTGGACCTGGAGCAGTCCACTGCAGAAGCAGGACTGCGCGCCGGACTGCGCGTGAGCATCTTCCATTCCAGCAGCCGATGTGCAAATGCAAAATTCTCGACGGTCAGCCTGCAGTCCACAAACTAACCATGAGTCTATGAGTCTGTCAGTCTTTCATACCGGTCATGCATCTTTCAAGAACGCTTTTACCGGAATCGAAACCTGTGCTTGCTTGACCATGTGGAATCCCGGGTGGGTAGATGATACAGAGCTGTCTTATGGTTTCTCAGGGTCTCAGGCTCGGCAATCGCGAGCCCAACGGCTTGATGAAACATGTAAAGACGGAGTCTATCATGTCTGACAAGGGATCCCTGTGCACACGATCCGTGACTCGTAGAGGCACCGCTGCTAAGCCTTTGGGCTGTTGCTTGAGGTCTAGGGTTTCTTGTTTGAGCGTCTCTCATATTGTAGGATCCGACAGAGTCTCCACATGAACAGGTTTGGCCCCCGACCCAGCACCCCCAGGAAAGCTTCCAGGTTCCCCAATGCAAACTTCGGGCCCGAAGCAGCCCTCCAACCACCTGCCGGGACGTCGCTCTAGGCGCCGCCGTCTGTTCCGACATTCCGAGCACTGCTGTCAAGCAAATCTTTCCGTGCCTTTTGTGCTTGGCGATCACAGGCTGGTTGCTGTGTTTTTCCGCCCTCTGTACACGTCTCGGGCAATTCTGCATGCACACATGCATCAGCAGCTTGGGCAGGTCTGCGTGTTGGAAGCAATGAGTTCGCTGAGACTTTGAAAAAAGGTCCACCAGCTCAGCTGCTGTGCTCCATACAGACGCGCGGCCCTAAAAAGTCGCCTCGCCGGCAACGATCTCCAGGAAGGCCTTATGCTAAGGTTCACATGGGTCTTTCCGAAAATAAGGGGTACCTTATTTTGGGGTCCTTATAATAAGGATCCTACTATTTGGGGTACTATATTAGGGTCCCCTATTTTCGGAAACTCCCACATAATGCTGGATCAGCCCTGAAAGTCTCCACAGCTTGGTGTCGGACCCCTTGCCAGCCGGAGAGAGGGCAGCTTCGTGCGAAGCTTTGTTCAACTTGCTGTCAAAGGTCCGTGGCCAAGAGGAGCATCCCGGGAACCCCACACCTCCAAGGCAAACTACTGTACTTCAAGGGAATGCGCTTCCAACTATTTCCCTTCTAGGCTCCGCTGCTACAAGCTCGTCAGCAATCCTATCTCGCTTTTTAGTGTGGGCTGTCTCGGGTGATATAAGCTTGCTTGCCTACATCAGGTGACCAGATTAACTGACCGCCGCTGACAGTGTCGCGACCATGGCCTCCCGGAACTCCCGTGCAAAGTCCTCGCTTGCTTCATAATCGCTCTGCCTTTTCAAATCTCGTGCGTGACACGAAGTACCAGGATGCTTGAGTGCAGCCTACACCCTCGCCCTAGCTTAACATGAGACAACAGCTTCGCCATCGGTGCAAGACCGCAGGCTCTCCTTGTCCGGATCAGCTCGCCTCGGCCTGGTCCAAGCAAACATGCTTTGCTGGGAGTAGGCCCATAAGCTATGAAGCAGGGCCACTGCCCAGGGGCAGAAGCGACGTCGAAAAGATTGCCGCTATTGATGTCCTGAGCAAGTGGTGCGATTCTGTCTCACATACACCAGCGGTTGTACTCAAGCCCACATAGACAGAAAGTAGTGGCACGTCCAACCATCCCGTGTCCTGATTGAGTTCGGCCACGGTTGCCGTGGGCGTGGACCAGGCATCGGCGCCTACATCTGCGGCATGCTCGTGAAGTCGATACCTTTTAACTCGAGAGTCTTAAAAAGGACACCCTGTGCGCCTTGGCATTCCTCGTGAGTCCTCCCTTGCAGCGCGCTCTCGGGCAAGACCTGCGCGTGGAGAGTTTTCAAACAAACATCCGCCAG